GCGTCGCGCGCATCGCGCCACTCGCCCGGCTCCCGCCGCAGGCGGCGCAGCATCTTGCGCAGCAGCTCCACCGGCAGCGGCAGCGCCTGCTGCACATCGCCCGGCGCCTCGCGCGCCGCCGCCTTGAGCACCTCCCTAACCAGCGGATCCGCCTTGAGAGCCGGCAGGCCCCGTTCCAGCGCGCAGTGCTCCAGGTGCGACACCGCCGCCGTGATCGTGGGCATCCTGTGATCATACTCAACCATCAGCATCACGTACTCAGCCACCCGCTTCGCCGTCGGCGACGCCTTCCGCCCGCCGGCCTCGCAGAACAGGCTGAACTGCCGCCACACCGAAGAGCGCTGCGCCAGGGTGGCCGGAGCAAATGCTTTCTTCCTGAACGCTGCCAACCGCTGCTTCACTCCCTGTGGCTGCAGACGCTGCACGTCCCACTGTGTCGCCGGCACCGCGCGGCGGCCCTGCCTCTGCCTCTGCCGCACTGATGCATCATGGGCGAGGTATAGATCTGCAAGAGATGGCACAGCAGCGTTGAGGGGGGGCGGGGGGGAAACGCTGCTGTGCAGGACAGCAGACGAACCGAAAGCCCAGAAAGAGAAAAAGCGCGGGGCCTGCTGCCGGGCGGCAGAAGGCCCGCCCCACGGGCGGCAGCCCAGCGGGCAGCAGCTCGGGCAAAGGTGCGGCGCCGACGGCGCAGGGCCTCGGCGCCGCTGACCTCAACCAGGCATTTCCCAGGAGCCGGATAAATTGGTCCAAATTTTGGTGGTGCGTCAAATCGCTGCTGCGCGCGCTGTGCCGCGACCCGCCTGCCAGGGCTAATAATGCAGCTTCTTTGGGCGCCAGCAATCAGCGGCCCTTGGGCTCAGGCCCACACAAGCTCATACCTGCCACCCTCACTTGAACCAACCATTGGGACCCGAACACCTTGAATCTCAGGTACCACACTGCCTGGCTCTTGTACATCCCCTTTGGCGTGGCGGCAATCCTCGCGCGTTTCTGGCTGCTGGGCCTGTACTTTGCTGTCCTGCGCCATGTGCTGCCCAAGGAATGCAGCAGCCTGTGGTGGTGGATCACCTGGGGCGTGACGTGCTTCTACAAGGTGCGGCCACCATAAGAGCCGCTTCAAACAGGGCTCACTGGGTGTAGTACATAGGGGTGTGCCAGGGGCGTGGAGCTCCTCCAAGAGGCCCTGGTTACGAGTTTCTGCTCGCTGCTGCTGGCCCACACGACCCGGTGCCCCCTGCCCCTGATCCCGCTCTCAGACGCGACATGTGACGGATGATTGCCACCGCAACGCGTATAGTGCTGACGACTTTGTGTTCGCGTCGCCTGACGAGGTGATTGCTGGTTGTTTTCAGGCGTGAAGGGTTCAGCGCCTGGACTGGAGGACGCAGTGCGCATGCACACGTATGGCCCTGGGGCTAGGGCAGTCGGCCATGAAGCTCCAATCACGCGCACGTGTTTGAGGACAGTGAGAGGCATCGCAGGGCCAGCAGGCCTGAGCCTCCAGGCCGCCGCTTGCCTGCACATTGCATAATGATTTGATGCAGGTCCGGGACATGCTGACTCGCGATGGCGCCAAGAGCCGCGAGGAAGTGGCCAAGACCATATTTGCCCTCGAGCACCATGCATGGTTCCTGGTGAGCAGCCTCCTAGTGATGGGCCCACCAGGCTGCAGCTTGATCAGCAAGGCAGGCACACAGAGCTGGATAACATGCAGATGGCTCAACTTGAAGAGACCATCGGCCGACTTGCCCTCAACTGCCTGATCTGCGCCGCTGTTCCTTTTTTTCAACAGGACGCCACCCTGTTCCACGCCATGATCGATGCTGCGCAACGGCCTGCACTCGGTGGCGCTGGTGGGCCGAGGCGCTGCCACCGACACTTTTGTGTCGCTGCTGCTTCCACAGGACGACGCCATGATGATGCTGCCTGGTAGGCAGGGGTGTGGGCGGAATGGGGGGCTTGGGACGAGGGGGCAGGGCTGAAAGGCTGGACGAAGTGGTTCCGGAAATTGAAAGGCAAGTGGCGAGGGGCGGGG